CACCCCCCAACTTTGATGCTGTAAACTGACAGGATTGGTATGATTAATTGATTTCCTTAATAACTACAACCACAGGACCATGAGGAAGTGAAGGAAAAACTGTTCCTACACAGGAATTTAGAATTTATAACATGGCTGCTTGCTTTAGGATGTGTGTAGGGGAAAAATTATTTCATCCCACCCTCATCTCTACAACAGAAAATAAATGGGAGTAACGATATGACAACTGAACAAGTGGCTTGCGTTGTGGTTTTTTTTTCCATTCCTTTTTTCCACTCTTTTCCTCACTGACTTGCAACTACCTATAGCAGTGAGTATCATGCTGTTTCTGGACGTGGACTATGGGAGGAATAAATACATTGTGCAGTAGGGACTTAATTGTGACTTCAGCTTTACCCAGGAACAAACTTCCATACTTCAAGATTATGACATGGCAATGATTTTCTTTTTGTCCTTGGAGTATTTTTACATGGCAAATGTAAAAGTGTATAGATAAGTCTCACTTCCTCAAAGTCAGAGCAGCAAGAAAGAAGTCAATGAAATGGCAGGATATAATGGAAACAGAAACAAGAAGGTATTCCTTGATTCTTTTTGGGAGCATTTACTAATACGGATCTTCTAACCTAGAGGAGAATGCTGAGGGACAGGAAGTTCCATAAGGCAGTGCCACCCCCTGCCCAGAAGCATGGGATTCTTAACTTGTCTTTTCAGTCTAACAAATAGCTTTAAAATTCTTTGGCACCATTTGTGTTACCCGCTCATTAGCTGCTTCACAAAACTGTTGGTTGAATCTTAGGTATCTGTCTTATGAACTTAAGCTCCAGCCTTGCTGGAGAACCTACCAAAAAGAATCAGTTTTGTTCCACATGATAAAATCTGATTTTCCAAATTATATTTCTCTTTAAATAGAGAAAACAGTTAAGAAAACTATGTTAAGCAGATAATATTGCACTTCCAATTTAAATTCTCTATTTCCTTACTTGAGTACTTGGGTTTACAGTGTTAATGTTCTCCTCAAACACCACTATGAATGTGATCTTTATTACTGAATTAACTGAACCTACACGTCCAGTGGAGCTGTGCCCTACACTGCTCTGAACATTGTTAGAAGACCAAAGGAAGAAGTGAGAGTGGAGGCTTGCTCAGGACTGCTGCTCTGATACAATCTAGCACATTCTTATTCATAATGTGCCCCATTTAATTCATAACCTTTAAAATGCTATTTTGTTGACTTATGAATGTTAGTTACTAAACCTGTAAATGAGAAATTAAATGATGCCTGGTTGATTCCATCTACCAAAATGTTAACAGGAGGCATGATAATTTGCCAAAGTAACAGACTGCATAATTAATATTCACATCAACATTTATAAGATCTGCTTGCATTGATGAAACTGTGCCTAAATCCCAAGGCCTGGAAGTGTTCTGCATTTATTTAAAAAAAATAAGTCAAAGCACTCCATATTAAATATTACACTACTGTGCCAGTAGAATTTGTTCTTACCAATGAACGATTTTGTTTATGCTGGAAAGTCTCTGGTAAATCCTCCCAGTTATCCAGCTGTATGTCCAATGGAATGAAATTATGATTCAGTGGTTCACCACCCTAGACAAGCAAACAGTTTTGTTTACAGATGCAGTGTAGCACAATCTAGAAAAAAATTATCTGTTTCAAGAGAATTATCTTCCCTTCCTATTAAGGTAAGATTTTTCCAGGACAAAAAAAAAAAAAAGCCACAGATGTGTGATAATACCACAGATGCAAGAAACAAGGATTCACATTAATATATCTGCAAGTACACAGGGTGAAAATTTTAACTCTGAAAATATCTGAATTTTTTTCTTTGCATATAGTTCGGACACACAAACTGCCTTAAATTAAGAAACTGAAATTATAATCCTCTTGACTGAATTTCCAAGGGAAACGAATGATTGTAGACTGGAAAATGTCACTTCATTACAATTTAAAATCAGAATCTTAGAGCATTGTTTATTATACTTAACTTTCTTTTTTTTAGACGTCCGAGCAAGTTCTACTCCACTTAAAGGAACAAGTTGTCCCAGTGGGTACGTATGACCCAGGAACTTACTGATGATTCACAGAAATTCGAGAGAAGGAATCAAAGCAGAATTCCCCAGTGTCTCTTGGTTCAAATTTGTGCAGTATCTGGCATAATGAAAATCTGCTCCAAGCCAAAAAAACGCAGACCAATACACAGTTGCCCAGATACCATCCAAAATGCATCTCTGTCTTAGAGTAAAATGTGTGAAGCTAGGAAGCAGTCTACACTTTAAGTATATTAAACAAGTTTTCACATACAAGAGGAACACTCTCTTTGACTTTTTCCCAGCTGTATCAGCTAGCCTAATAAAAATGTATTATCTCAAAGACTTGCCCTCAGTTATTTGTGATGCTTTGCAGTTGTACCTGAATACACTGACTCATTCAGTAGCTTTGAAGAAATCTTCTCAGTGAACTTTTCTATCCCTTAAAAGAAGGAATTGGAAAGTCCTGATTCCCCCTTGAAAAATGACCTGAAAAATTACCAACTGCTAGTTTCTGTACACCCATTACGATTGCAGATTAATGATAATGTGTTTTATTCAGGAAGTTACTGACTTATACACAGCACCAACGTCTAGCTTTCTGAAAACGTGGTGACAATATTTTATTTACTTAGTCTGTCAAGATTCACTGTCATTTTTACTTTAATTTTGAATGTTCTTCTATAAAAAAATATTTTGTGGGAAGACACTACAATAAAACAAAGGAATCTTAAACAAGCTTCACTTGCATTTCTAACAGATGATCTGACCATACATCTGATGTATTAACCTCATTTTGTAAGCTAAGAGAAGTGTTAGAAGTTATATATCTAGGGAATTATTACTTAATTCCACTGTGAAAAAGAACTAGAATGATAAACTACCTTATTTTTATACATACCAGCTAATACAAAAATACTGGTCTTTTTATATAAAATATAGCAAATGAAAGAATACATACATGTTTCATAGGACAACATTTTACTTCCTAATTTTAAAATGATAATAAACTTGCATATTTCAGGTTTACCTTTGTATAGAGGTGAATTCTATCAGTATTTCTGCTTGCACAAAACATAAGCCCATCATATATTGGAAATGTATCTGATTTATCTACATCTCCTACAAAGAGAAACAATGTTGACATTAGAAAGTTTTTTTTCTTCATTCACTTCATTCAGTCTAGTCAGTCATTAAAAATAATATTATACATGTTTTTAAGAAGTTATTTGTGAAATTCCCCAATTTGGTGTATATGCAAACACATTTTTGTATGAACATTGTAAATCTTTCCTTGTTTTTCCCCCCCCGCCCCCTTCAAATTATCAGCAATCATGGAACAAAACCCAGGAGAACATACACCACATGAGGACTCTGTATCTAATTCCAGAACAACATAATAAGATACACAGCTCAAGCAGCAAGCTATGAAGATATTTGTGTATTTTATTTTTCTGTTTCTCCTGAATTATACCTATCATCTGTTTCGCCCGTGGCTGTCCTGAACACAAGTACATGCCATCATAAGTTTCAATAAAACTATACAGGTTCACAGTTGCTAGTTTGACATAGTTCTTACGTCAGCCAAAAACTCTGTATTGCTTCAGGAGTTGTATGGAAAGGCTTGGTTTATCCATCATCAAAATCCAATAAACATTCCAGGCTAAACCGAGAAAGTCATGTGCTAGTGTATGTACTTCTGTATCTTTCAAATGTGTAGGTTTTTATTTAAAAGTTATTTTTCATGCCAGAGGCATTTAATACAGTTTCGCAATGGGATATAACCTTTCTTTCCCACTTTACCTTCTCCACACTTTTTTTCACTTTCTTCATTTTCAATTTCAACAGTTTCCTGTTCGCTGATTTCAACAAGTGGCTGGGTCACCATTTCCCCAAAATCTTCTCTTCTATCTTCAGCATTGCACACTGCGCTCTCTTCATTTCTTCTGGAGTCCTTTGACACATCTTCCTCAGTCTGGCTAGTGGGAGCTTCACTGCTTCTCTCAACTATAGATGAAGAAACAAGAAAATCAATTATTTATGCTACCCGTACAAACAGGAACCTAATCGATACACACCTGGAGAGAGGACTATGTAACTGAAATACAAAGAAATTGCATTTTATTCTCTAATGGTGCAACCACTTAGGAAACTAGAGCTACCTTTAATATTAGAAGAATAAACACATGGAACAAAGTTTTCCATTTATGCAGTTTCATGCACCCAGCTTAATGTCAAAATATTTGCAATAAATAATGCAGTTAGCAATTCTATATTATATGCAGTTATTGTATACCATAAACACACAAAGTAGTTTTCCAGACATTGATCTATACCTGTGAAATTCCGAAGCTGTCCTTACTGGAACAAGCACAGAGACTTAAATAAAATAAAAAAAAGAAAAAGAACCTTACTCCTTCCTTTGCAATTGAAATGGCAAATATGGGGATAGATTTATAAAAATGTTTTATTAAGTTTCCAGATAGATTAAATAAATTTAATAAAAGACATCTACTCTGACCTGTTGGAGCAAGAAATACCATATTTTCCAGGTAATGTCTCTTACAACAAATCTAAAATACCCAAGTTAATAAAACATCTATACCATATAATTTAGTTTTGACAGGTAGAGAAAAAGTTTGCCATTTAATTGGATTCAGAATAACCATAAACTTCAAGGAAAAGGAAAGCTACATTTGCTGCAAAGAAAACTGAGCATATATTCTTCCTCACTGAATTTATATCCTGTTAACACTTATCTGAATTTTCCAATTGTTTCAAATTAGAATCATGTAAAGATCCTTGGGGAAAGCAAAATTAAGAAGGATCACTTAACGGGTATCTGTTCACGTAAAGTCACTATTCTTCATATTTTGCCTGGATTTGTGTATATTCATATATTCAAAAATACTGTATTTTCTGAAACTAATCACAACTGAAACAAAAAATGCATTATTTTTCTCTGCAGCACAGGTCACTTACCATTAGTGATTTGAGGGCAACTGCACATTTCACAGTAAGGGAGCAATTCATTATTACTATAAGTGCAAACACTACAGTGCCAAACTTTATTTAAAGCTGTACTTTTGCTTGAAGTATTTAAGCCACAAGGAAAGACTTCATTGCATTTTTCTGAAAACAAAGAGGGCTTTTTTCCAGTCAAAGATTTTTTATTTTTCTTACTGGAGTTGACTGGAGTAGATCCACTTATGCTTCTTGCTCTTTTAGCTTGACGTTCACAGGTACTTTCATGATAAATTGTATCCACATCACTTATTCTTGTGGAATCCAGGTTTTCATTGCTCTTCTCTGCATCCTCTTTTGTGACTTCAGAAGATTCTGAATCATCATGTAATGATTCATTACCAGAAAATATTTTGCGTTTCTTCACAGTAGAGGATTTTGGGGAAAAGAAAGAACGTATGTCATGCTGTCTTTCCTTTTCAAACTAGGAAAAAGGAAAGAAATATGTAAACCCCACTTATAGTTATGCATCAGAAGCTGTTAGAATTATGATTTTTCTCCATTAATATTACTCTCTAATACAAGAAGCTATTTTTAGTTTGGAGATGGAAACAAAAGGTATCTTTCTTTAAGAACAAACAGAACAGCAATTCAACATTCCTCTTCTGTTTTGTAAAAAGTATTTTCAATATTCTCATAAAAATTCTGAAATAGCACTATCAGAAAACAAATACACAGAACTGGTATACTATGTGCCTTTTTTGATGATATCTATTACAAGGAAAAGCTTTTAAACATTGTTTTTAAAATAATAGCCCATTAAATTCAGGACAGCTAAAAAAGCTGTAATTTAAACAGAAATTACTTGGTCTTATCTGACTCTGAGGGTGGGTCAGTCACCTAAACATAACATAAGGACCCATCAGAAGCCTGTAGATGACATTTATACCCAGCAGAGCACTTTCCCCAACTTCACCTAATTTTTAAAATGGAATTTACATTACTTTTTCCCACTTATTTAGTGCTTCTCCATTAGTAAAGTCTGCAGTGCACAGAAAGCTTAACTGAACAATGGTTATAATTTTTTTTAAAATGAAAGAAAACAGAAGAACGTAAGTTTCGAGTCTTACATGCGTAAATAAAAGTTCATTTTTAGGCTCTTCTAGACTTTCATTTGGGGTCCAGGTCTCAGCAAAACTCAAAAAATCCCATTTCTCCTTATCACCTTCTTCAGCCTGCATTTTTTCTTTCTTACCATTCAAGGTGCTGCCTGTAACTTTGGCCTGCAGAAGGAACACTTGCATAAAGTTTCCAAGGAATTCACATGTTGGAAATTTATTTACCTATATTCACTCAATTTGCTTCCCTTGCAAACTTAATTCAGCATTTGCAAAGTAAGAAACTCCGTACTAATTCAAAATAACTTGTGATTAAAACTATTCCTCTTCCAGCAGCCATTTCTGCAAAAATAACAGTAAGTAGCACATTTAACACACTATGATTTGTGAAAAGGTATATACAAAATGTCAGTATTTATTGAAATTAAAAGAGAATATATACATCGTGTACATCTCCTGAAGTCTTTACACGTTTTGCTTGGCACATGGAAACAAACAAAGGCAGAATTAATTGAAATAAGCAGTTTAGTGACAGAACTCCTGTACGGTAAATTATTGGTGAATTACTGAGACCCATCTGTGCCATGTTTAAGGAGACTCTTAATGTACTGGACTGACTGAGATTTTTCCAGAGGTACCTACAGGAATTGCAATACAGAGTTTCATTCCCCAACTGAATGTCAAATACAGTTTGCAGTACCTAGATTCTTTAAGCTATGATTACTTTTCAGCAAGAGAAGAATATATTGGCAAAAAAAATGGTTTATCCGTTTCTCTAACTATATGGACACAAACGATTGCACCACTACAACACACGGGTAGCCAAATGCAGGAATAACAATCGTAAGTTGGCATTTGCATCAGAAGAAACCCTGTGTAACCACAATCTCAAACAATTCTGACAACTAGAGTTTAAAAGGCAGTTCTTTCTATGTTGACACTTCTGAAAATGTCAGAAAACAAGAGCCGACAGAATACAAACACACCTCAGTTATCAAAACAAGACACTAATGAATGGCATCAAAGGCTATAAAAAGGTCACAAAAGCAAAACAGCCAAATTATTTTTCTTAATCCTGTGAACTCTCAAATACCTTCCGAGTAAGGAAAGAAAGCAGGATGGAATTACTCCTCCTAACAAGGACTGGGTAATACCTGAGGAAAATGGCAACAGAAGATAAGATTACTGTAATTTTGGGTGTAATAAAGAAGAATTATTTGAGAATGCTCCTGCCTCTCAGAAATAAAGTTTAGTAAGGCACAACATTCATCCAATTAAAAAAAACCAACCAACCAAAACAAAAACAAACCCAACAAACTCTAGCTGTTATTATTGTGCAAAAAAACTTAAAATTGTAAATTGAACAACCAGAGCAATAGAAAGCTACAAGGAAGATAAAGCAACAATCTCCTGCAGATGTGAACCATCCCATTCATCTTGGTAAAGAGTTACCTTAGGATCTTAGGATCCTAAACAGAGAGCAAAAAGCTAGAAAAGACTAATTTGGAACAGACATGGACATTTTAATGATTAGCAGTTCTAGATGTATCAATCTGTCATATAGTAGGAGAGTGCTCCAGATAAGCAAGAATGTTATTTGGCGCATGCACTTAAGTGCTGTTAATCATAGTGAGTTCTTGATTATTCGGTTCTATTCCACACATACCTTGCGATTCAGCATTGCCCACATAAGAGTATCCATTGTTCCTTTTGCAATAAGGAAGTGAATATTCACAGAACTGCACTGTCCAATTCGGTGTGCTCTGTCTTCTGCTTGCTTAATATGTCCTGGATCCCAATATAATTCAGCAAACACAACATGAGTAGCAGCAGTGAAAGTTAAACCCTAAACAAAATAAGCAGATGCATTTTAGAAAAAAAGATTCTACGCACAAACAACTGAATATCTGAAGAAAAACAAAGCTAAATGTTGTACAGAACATTTTTATACGAAAATAAGAGGGATCACCTGGTGTCCTTGTTTCGGCTGGGATAGAGTTAATTTTTCTCCTAGTAGCTGGTTTTGGATTTAGCATGAGAATAATGTGATAACACACCGATGTTTTAGTTGTTGCTAAGCAGTGCTTACACTAAGTCAAGGACTTTTCAGCTTCCCACGCTTTGCCAGCAAGGAGGTGCACAAGAAGCTGTGAGGAAGCATAGCCAGGACAGCTGACCCAAACTGGCCAAAGGGATATTCCATACCATATGATGTCATGCTCAGTATATAAACTGGGGGGGACTTGGCCGGCGGGGGGCAGCGATCGCTGCTCGAGGACTGGCTGGGTGTTGGTCGGCGTGTGGTGAGCGGTTCCATAACTTGTTTATCCTGGGTTTTGCTTCTCTCTCCCTTTTTGTTGTTTTCCTTTTCATTACAATTTATTATTATTATTTTATTTCACTCATTAAACTGTTCTTATCTCAACCCACAAGTTTTCTTACTTTCACCCTTCAGATTCTCTCCCCCTTCCCACTGGGGGGAGGGAGTGAGCAGCTGGGTGGTGTTTAGTTGCTGGCTGGGGTTAAAACACGACACCTGGACAGCAGATGAGCCTATTACACTGATTTCTTCCTTGGGCCTCAGACAGATATTAATAAGGTTCAGAAAATACTTCAATGTTGTGCAAAGACTGCATACTGCTTTTCATTATGGAAGTAACATTTATTTCTTATTAACCTGGTATTTTTAGAGAGACTGAATTTTTACTAATTATTCAAGAATGGGATGCTGCTGCTTATCTTGATTTTACTCAAGTATTTCAATAGAGGCTTAAAACAGTTAACATTAGTGCAAAAAATGAATATATGAGTCTACAAAAGACATATTGCATGAACTGCCTTCAGTAAATCACTGCAGTCACCAATGACTTTAGTATCTATATTCTCCAAGTTTCTTATTTCACATATGTTCTTTTTTGTCCTACCTGACCAGCTGCCTGAATACTCAAAATAGCAACCCGGGTATCAGGATCCTTCTGAAACTGATTAACAAGATGTATTCTTTCCACGGAAGGAACACTTCCATCTATTCGTATGTAGCGAACCTATAACATATCACAATAGAGACAAAAATGAAATTATCCGTGTCCATTTTTCGACCCAATCACCCTCTGTCCCCCAATGAAAAAAAATACGAAAACATCTGTCCTATTCCTGTCACAGGGATAGGGGTACATCAGTACTCTTTGGCCTTTGATTTACAATTAAGCGTCTTTATCTAGAGAAGTGCAGACTTAGTATTCCCGATTTACAAAAGGAGAAGACAGAACAACGCGAGATCTTAAAATGGAATACTCCGTAGAAGAATTTGTAATTTCCTTGACATGATTTACTAAAATTCTAAGCATTTGCAAAATAATAACAATATTAAATAGCAAAGTTAGCCACCATTCCCTAGCAATGGTTGAGAGTCCATGATCAAAATAACATGAAGAGTTGTTTGCAAACATTTTTACTGCTTTGAATTAAACATTCAGGTGAGATGATAGCGTTCTGTAAAAAAACAGAAAGGAGACAGAAGCACATTGGTGGAAAAACTTGGGAAACAACTGCCTACAACATTGATTCAATAATAACGTATCATACTAGATATGAGTGTTTACATTATCCTCAAATACAAAACATTTCTTCAAAACCACACAAGCCCTTTAATCCAGTGGCACTAATCTGTATATACTTAAAATCCATAAATCCCTGTACGCACAGGTAGCTCTACTGAATTCAAACACAGCTCATACATCTTTGTAAAGTCTGAAATTAAATTTGTGTGCACATCTGTTAAATCATTACCTTATTTTCTATAACTGCCTCTGTACAGGCTTGAAGCATGCTTAAGTGGTGAGCAAAAACTAGAAACTTCAGTTTGTCATTTTCAAGCATCATTTTGATATAGTCTTTTACTGCTCCTGCCTGGAATAAGAATGCGTTTTCATTAGACATACAAAATGTTCAAAAAAACAGTTTTTATTTTAATGTCTTTTGATTTCTTGTAATATGAAAAGATAAATGACTATACTTTTTGTTATCCATTTAAGACTTTATCAAACATTTTAAAGTATAAAATTATTCAAATTATTTTTGTTTAAAAAAACCACCATAACTTTGTCTTTGTGAAACCTATCTTATTTCTTCAGAGAAAAAAAACCCCAAAACTTTATCCTCAAAAGATTACATAATTAAATGGCACATCTTCCAGGTTAAGATGTAAGTAAACCCCCTTTTAGTTACAACATTATTATTTGATGTTTTAAGCCATATTTGAAAAAATAAAACAAAACTGATTTCTGCCCAAACATATTTCAAAGGTATGTGTAATCAGAATTTCTGTATCTGCACCCAGCAAGCCATATATCAAAACTGAAACAATAATTTTGATACATTCATGATATCATAATAAAAGATTGCTCTATTTAAACATTCATAAAATTCTTTTGTGTGAAATATAACTTTCAATATCTTTTACAAAAACTACTAAAGTAATAATGACAGTTAATAATAAAATTTATCAGTGATCAATGGTTAATGCAATATCCACTGCATTATCCTCAGATTTCTTTTTTTCTCTCTTTTTTGTCTTTCAAGTTCCTCTCTGAAAATAGATTAACAGAGGTTAGGGAAGAGAATAGAAAACGGGGGAAGAAATAGCAACAGAACCACAGTGATATTTTTAAGATAAGGAGAAAAAAAGTGGAAGGAGTTGGTCAGATTCTCAACTCTTGCTGCTCCAGCAGCCTACAGAACTTCTTTTTTTTTCCCTATCCTTTTCCAAAAATAGGTTAGGATAATGAAACTTGATACCAGGGTAAAAAGTAGGCGTGTAAAGGATTTTGGTTATTAACTTGTTTTTCCTCACATCTTAAGCTACAACACTATAGGAGGAAAATACAGAACAGGGGGTCCCATTTGATAAAATAGGAAGAGACCAGCTAAAGGGGATTGTTCTTCCGCATTTATCCATGGGGAGAACCAGTACTGACAGAATGCGGTCTGCGTAAGGGCTGCATCAGCACTGTCCTTGGTCAGCTGCAGCAGCTGCCAACATACAGGTATGTCCCTGAAGCATCCACCTTCAGTATATCCCTAAGTCAATGAGACACATTTAGTGCTGTTGGGAGACTACGTTTGGACAGTCTCAGCCAGCTTGGTGGATATCTAATCAGTAACAGTTTTAACACTTAGCTCAGGTAATTATAATGGGGTTCAGCCTATTCCATAAACATACAGGGAAAAAGAGTGTTTCTCCACATCATGATTATAAAACAAACCAACCATCCTCATCTAGTATTCAGGCCAATACAATCAATTTTGTTAAGTTAAAATACACTGGGTATTTTAAATATATTAAGAAAAGACTTCCACGCTTACCTTGGCAATGGCTGTTTCTTTATACATGCGTGTAATTAGATTCATGACTTGAGAAAAGTGGCTTTCAGTAGCATCTGAATTCAGATTTCTCATTAATTTCTCCCACTCTGCGAAAGTGGTATTCAAATTCTAATTGGCAGAAGAGATCAGTGGTTAGATATACAGCACAAAGCATATTCTACCTCAACATATACATTTCAAGCATGAAATGTTTAGGAACTGAGTACTTGAGAACTCTATCAAATTTGTCTAAAAGTAACTGTCGGATTCAAAATCTAAAGGAAAGGAAGACAGAAAGCATATTCTACCTCAACATATACATTTCAAGCATGAAATGTTTAGGAACTGAGTACTTGAGAACTCTATCAAATTTGTCTAAAAGTAACTGTCGGATTCAAAATCTAAAGGAAAAGAAGACCGTACTAAAATTAGTGCAAATTTTATCATTATCTGATGCCAAAAATTTGCCATATTCATGTTCTTCATGTTATGTTTTAAAAAGAATAACAGCGATGCTACACTATATATTCACACGTTCTTCATAACTACATATAATACACATGTATACATATAAATACATAGGTATTTCTATTTACTAACAAATGCTTTTTTAGCAAAAGTGGAAAGTTTACCTTAGCTGCGGCTTGCGGGAGGTCAAATGGAATTCGTTGCCTAACTTTGGGAGGCAACTGAGTTAGAACATCATTCTTCAGTCTTCTGATCATTATTTCACTTAAAAGTTGATGTAGTTCTTCTAAATTTGAAGCTCCTCTACAGTCCCATAGAGTTCTTTTACCAAAAAACCTGAAATGGAAAAAAAAAAAAATCAACACCTGAGGATGAAAACTAGCTCTTCCAAATTCACTAGAAGCTTTCAGTACATAATTAATTTTAAAACACACTGTTAGATACAAAGGTGTGCTGGATAGCAATACTCAGTGTTCCTGTCTACGCCAGAGAGATGATTGCTTTCTGTCTGATTCCTTCCAACACTGAAGTCAGAGCTGTTTTAGCTTCCCAGCAGATATCGCTGCCCGCCGGCATTACTACCCATCACATGCATACAGTCCTCTATCTCATCCCAGCTACACCTCCCTTTCTACAGGAAGTATCATTCAGGTATCATTTTATAACTCTTGTTTCAATGGACTATGAGAAGACTATACCACCATGAGAATGCTCTTTATTATATTATAGATGGGAACAACTGATAAGGAAACTATCATGAAAGCTGCAAATATCACCATTAATATTCCTTTGTTTCCCCCCCCAGAGAATTCCTTCATAGTTACAGTCAGAAACAGCATTTAAAGCTAAAGGTACCAGCTTTAAATGTAATACTATTTAGCGAGCAAGGTTAAATAGAGGAAGTAGGTTCAAGGTTAAAAAGGTAAAGGTTGAAAAGACAAAGAACTTATTAACTTAGTCTTCCTTTTTCTTTCTTTGCTTTGTTTTTAAGGAAGTGTTGCAGCAGGAACAGCAGCTTTTCTCTGTCAACATTGCCAAGAGATAACAAAATAACGAGCATGACACATTTTGCAGCCTTTGGAGAAAAGCCCAGGTAGCATTTTCGAAGGCCAAGAGCGTATGTGCAAGCATGTAATTTTACTGCTAAATTTTTTTTAAAAAATTATCATTTAGAGAATTTTAAGCCTTACTGAGCTTATCAACAGTGTTCTAGTTGGCTGCCTATAATAATTTGGGAAAGGGGCTGAGGGACTCACTTCTACACTGGTGAAGTATTGGTTTAACACACTCAGAATGCTATGTAGATGGAAGACAGCAACATCTTTTGCTTATGTCCCTTCTTTGGTCTATTTATATGGCTGTCCTTAGAAAGGTTTCCTCCCTCCAGCTTGAGCATTGGAGATATAAAAGAAATGGTAGGCAAAACCTCACAGAAATACTTTGGACCTCATCTTGAGAAACAGGTGTCTATGAACATCTAAGAAAAAAAAACCACAACATTTTCACAGAAAGTGCTGCATAAAATAATCCTATCAAGTTTATTACCACAGGATGTTTTGTTTCAGCCAAGTCATGAAGACGAAGTTATTTATTGAAAGCTTGTCAAACCCTGAACTTGATTTTTATTACATTTATGGTATTCCAAAAATAAGATAATCATCTATGATTGAGTAGCTAACCATGCTGTACCCACGCACACTTGTGGTGTGAAAATTACAGATGCATTCAGTCAAAACACCATGGAAAAAAATAGCATTTCTCTGTCTGAAAATTAGACAGCACTCTTCCATGTTATTTGAAGTTAAATGCTGATAAAATGCATATGATGGAGGGAGAAAAACAAGTTATATGAAAATGAAACCATATAATTATTACTGTAAAAATTAAATCTAAATGCTAGCCAATTTAGCTGACAAAATCTATTGTTTTGAATATACGCAAAGTTGTAGATAAGAAATTTTTTAGCTAACATATTTTTTAAAGGTTCTTTCCTTCTCATAACTTCTTTCATTCCAGATTGTAACATAGATTCAGATGGATAAGACTAAATCAGAGCTTCTTCTATCCCCTCTATTTTAGAATATAGCTAGAGAAACCAATCATCAAACTAAAGCTGAGGGAAGCAAGTCAGAGGGAAATGAATCCGCCTTATGTTAATAACTTAAAGCGCATGAAACATGAAAATTCATGAAAAATGCAAGGGATAAAAATGGGTTAAAATTCATTAGGCACATATGTGGAAAAATGTGTAATGAGCAATGTTACTTAGCAAATTGGAGGCAAGGTGGTGGACAAGAACTTACAATGCCTATATTCAATCCCTCAAACAGAATTACAATCACACTACTGTGCTCTTGGGAGTTTTATACCTTTATTTTTACTCAGTCGATCTGTAAAATACAGAGATAGGTATTGGACTTTTTTTCTGCCCAAGTAATGGTGGGATAGCAAAAAGACTGGATCCCATAGTAAAGAGAGATGTAAATTATTATGTGATATGAGCATAAGACTGAGAGTCAGAAACTCCTAAGTTTCAGCTCCAGCTGAAGCTCCAGCTCTAAAGGTAAAACCTATACACTTCATACTAACGACAGTAAATTTGTAAATCATTTTACTTAACAGAATGCTGGAATTCAAACTTTATTTCAAAATTTAATAGCTTCCAATTTTGTCCTCAAATAAAGTCTCCTGTCAATTTAATCCTTTCCCAAGCCTCTTTGATGGAAGAGATGGTATCTGACCCTGGGTTTCCAAGCAGGATGGTATGATACAGCATTAGAGGTACTACTTACTGATTCTCTCACTTCACTTGACAAGAAAATCAAAGACACTCATTGGAAAATAAATGAGCAAGTACAGTAATACCTGACATGAGCATTGCAGTATTTTTTGGCATATTCACTCCAAGTTCCAAATCTTCTTGGAAACAGTGCCTCGATCTGCATGAAAAGCTGTACAAAAACCCATAGTGATAGTGAAAAATTGCCTGCAAATGTAAGACTATTCAGAAATAATTATTACATGACTATTGTGTTAAGTTTACATTCAAGAGTTGCACAAAAAATACACAGCTTGGCACACATGCAAAAGACATTCCATAGGAGTATGCATGTCTCTTGAGACAGGACAGTTGTGGGAAGCCCTCAAAGAACAGAGCACCCTGAACACCATAACACAGTGCTGATGACTTGGAAGAGATTTGTAGTGAACAAGAAAACACGGATGAGATGTTATTCCTAAAAATACAATTTTTTTCATTTGCCAGGTACATGGGCTTCTGCAAAGCTTCAGTGCAGGTATTCCATGAATAGTCTGCTTCTTAAAATACATGAAAAACCTACTCATTCTTAAGTTTTACTTCAAAAAATAGAGAATGTCAATACAGACCAGAAATTTCACGCTTTTCTTCCTGGCTGAGTAACAGGAGGCAAATATCAGTTTAGACAACCTTAGCCAGAAAGAATCCTACTTTACAAGCTGTTTTACTGTTAAAGCTTTCTGGATTCAAAGATCACTTCTAGATCCAAGACACACTGTTGAGGGGTAGCATAGAGACAACAGTAATATGGAAGGCTCTCTCCTAAATGCATTTCGCTGCTATCCTCTTAAGTCACTTAAGTACATCACTTCTGCCATTTAAGCTTTCATATTACCTAATCACATGCTAATGACCTCTCCCAAAAAGAAAATTACTACAGCCTAATTTTGTTCTTCACGGGCTTCTTTCAAGACAGAAGTTAGAGAACTGAAAAGCAGTATTAAAGGAAAAAAAAAAACAAACACAAAACCAAAACCAATTCATTCACCCAAGTGAAATGTTGCTATTTTAACACAGATCTAGGCCAAACAAGAAAATGCCTGTAATTATTTGCTATAAATGTACATAAATATAAATGAATAATGCTTTTCATTTTCTATACATATTCTATTCAGAGACTTCATAGAAAGGTTCTGCTCATGACACAAAACTGATTAAAGAGACGTAATGCTTTTTAGAGTCTGCCTTATAAGCCATGGCAGAACTTTGGTATCACTATAAAAATGTCTCAAATTGTTTTCCATTTGGTCATTAATTTTGACCCCATTACTGTGATCAAGGACAGCTTGTATGGAATTTCCTTTGAAGACCTTTAGCAATGTTGCTTACTGGTCTTGGTATCAATGCATTGTACAAAAGTATAACACTTTCTAACTTCAGTTCTTTTTCCAGGGTTGGTTGCAATGTCCTTGGTACATGTGCAGGAACTTTCATAGTCATCCACACCCATAGATACCAATATTTGTTTTAAAGTTTTAAGCAAACACTCATAATACGCCAAGCCCTTTTTCATACAGTGGATATCTTTCTCAAGTTATAACCCCTCTGAACAAATTAAATTATTAAAGGGTCTTGGCATAAGTTCTATTTATACAACAAGAAACTCTAAAGTGTAAAGTATTATTTATAGAACCCTTATAAGTTTCCTGGATACAAATCAGCTCTTATATTCCATTTATTTCTATGTTTGATAAATAAAGGCAGTTTTCTTGCGTTCAGTATAAAACCCAAGTGGTTTTTGGTTTCCTCCCTGTTCCTCCCCAATTCCATAAGTTGAACTTCCTTCAAAGGAAAATTTGTCTTTCTGAACTGCAACAAGCACAGGATGTATTTTTTCCATTTATGCAATACAAGTGAACATTAGGAATATTCAAAAGACCAGCGATAAACAAAAGACTTCCTATCATATGTTGAAGTAGAAAATTTAATACAAGTTCTTGTCTACCAAGGACTCTCCTACCCAGTAGAAACAAATAGTTCTCTACTTAGGTTCTTTATTTTCTATTTCACCCAACAGTCAGTCTGTTACATGTGACATTAATTTCTTATAAGAAACACTGTCTCCAGTCACCTGTGCATGAAACAAGTTTGTAAAACATCAATATAATCAACTCAAATTAAAAGACATTGGTTTAGTTTCTTATACTTGTGCTTCACAATGCAGCTAGAACACCGTTTGATGTCATAATGCATCTAATTGCATATATTCAAGAAAACTACAAAATTGTTCGTTTATTACTCATACCATCCTTAAAAAAACCAAAACAAAACACAATACGTCAAATACCTCTTCAGGTCTTCCTAGAGCAGGAGTTCCAGTAAGAAGAATAGCTCTAAGAGCTTTCTGCACAATTGGCAACAAAATCTTGCTGCGGGTGGCATTTCTGGATTTCATATAGTGAGATTCATCAATCACAACTACCTTAAAGTTCTGCCTGTACAAAGTGTCTACTAGAGTCTGTGCATCAGAAGTTAACAGGCCATACCCCAGAATTGTTACTTTGCTGGTTGATATTCTCCTGAAAGAGAAAATCCAGAAGTTTTCTTAGTAAATTTTCATTGTAGGAAAATTAATACAGCAAAAGAATTATACCAAACTAACTTTTTTAAGAAGGTATGTATGACACCTTTTGGATTGAATAATCAGTGGGCTGTCAGGCTAATAATAACAGCTTTTGGTGTTTAAAACATCCTAGCAACAGATCAAAAAACCAACTAAGTTGAAGTTTCCTTGAGTATTTTAGAGGAAGAAAGTATGTGCATGTGCACATTCATGCTTCTGGATATGGAAGAAGAGGCAATGGTTAGAGCACTCGCACTTGTGGTCAATGCACTACAGACTCTGGTTGTTACTGTATAGATAAATGTAGCAACCAGGAAAACAAGAATTTCCCCTACCCCTTTGTAAAGGGTGGATAAAAAAATCTACAAATAAAATTATTTATTCTTAGTGAAACCAATTTATTCAAGTAACATCCAATTTCATATTTAGTTAGAAATTGTAAAAACCTAAATTGATGCCTATATATATTTTAACCTGTTTAAATTAAGAAGTTAAACAACATTCAAGCAGTAAATTCCATTGCTGAAGTTTTGAAGAAAAGGAAAGTATTGAACTGAGAGAAATCAAAGCTGAACATATGGAAGCAGAATTTAACAAAATGCTAAACCAAATTTGGCAGCTGTATTTTTGCATTTTCTTGCAAATGCATAAAACACTTTTTAATGTTAAAATATTAATTAGTTCAAAAGATACCTCACTTATAGCTAGGAAGCCTCCTGGGAGTTAAACAAGCAGAAACCCAAGTTTTCCCCCTCCCTTGTTGTTGAATAAAAGTAAGTGATAATGGTTAAGGTCTACTCCTTTTAAAAATCTTAAAAGGTAAAATGAACAGAATTCTGTTTGCCATTTACTTTTGCCATCATTTCCCTTATTCCACATTTCTCCTTTCTGCATTCAGCACCATAAGCATTACGTTTGTGTGCATTTTAGCTAAATAACTTAAAAAAAAAAAAAAAAAGGGTCATTGGATCCTTATTTTAGTTCCCATATTCCTAAGATAAACTTAAATTTTGACTGTCAGCAGCAACTACCCCTTGATTAAGCTTTTAAAATACGTTTTCAGTTGGATTTCTCTGGAAGGTTCCAAGCTACTGTCTGATCTGCACATCCTGGCAGTCAAGTCACTTTCTGATACTCCCCAGATAATATGAAGATCAGTCTCCCTTATCCAGAAGTTTTAGAACAACATCTAGACATTACCATGAAATCAACCAAGTCATTTACAGTAAAGCAGACTAAAAAATACCCTTGTAATTCAGTGTAATAGGAGTTATTCTAGTAACACACAACATTTGTCATCTCTCTCTGATGAATTCATGCTATTAAGTCTAAAGATAGAAAGCCTAGGTCATGATGACCTTTTCAGTTATTTAGAGAATACTTATCCTAACTTACAAATTTTCTCAGTGCGCTAAGTAGGATTTTAACAATAATTATCCTTATTTTGTAACGTATACCAGAAGTTTTCCAAAAATGTGTTCAAAACGTTTTACAGAAGCTAATGAATACAAGCTAATTCATCAGAGTTGAGAAATAACCGTATATGTTCAATTTGAGACACACTGAAGTAATCTAATTTTTTTGCTACTTTGCAAAAACCAGACCTCTCAATTTCAAAGGAGAGGAGTAACTACCATAATATAATAATACAAAACTGGAGGAGTGGCTGATACACCAGAGGATCATAACTACCATAATAATACAAAACTGGAGGAGTGGCTGATACACCAGAGGATCATTCTGCCATCCAGAGGGACCTTGACAGGCTGGAGAAATGAGCTGACAGGAACCTCGTGGAGTTCAACAAGGAAAAGTGCACAGTCCTGCACCTGGGGAGGAACTACCCCATGCACCAATATATGCTGGGGACCACCTAAGCTGGAAAGCAGCTTAGCAGAAAAGGACCGGGGGGTCCTGGTGGACACCAAGTTGAACATGAGCCAGCAATGTGCCTTTGCAGCAAAGAAGGTGAATGGCATCCTCAGCTGCATTAGACAAAGTATTGCCAGCAGGTTGAGGGAGGTGATCCTTCCCCTGTACTCAGCACTGGTGAGGCCACACCTGAACTGCTGTATCCAGTTCTGGGCTCCTCAGTATAAGAGAAACATGGATGTACTGGAAAGAGTACAAAAAAGGGCCATGAAGATGATTAAGAGACTGGAGCACCTCTCCTATGAGGAAAGGCTGAGAGAGCTGGGACTCTTCACCCTGGAGAAGAGAAGGCTCAGGGGAATCTCATCCATGTATGTAAATACCTGAAGGAAGGATGCAAAGAGGACAGAGCCAGGCTCTTTTCAGTGGTGCCCAGGACTATGAGGAAAGGCTGACTGGGACTGTTTAGCCTAGCGATGAGAAGGCTCAGGGGGGGCTCTTATTAATGTACATAAATACCTGAAGGGAGGGCACAAAGAGGACGGAGCCAGGATCCTTTCTGTTGTGCCCAGTGACAGGACCAGAGGCAATGGGCACAAACTGAAACACAGGAGGTTGCCTCTGAACATCAAGGAAACACTTTTTTTTACTGCAGGGGTGACTGAGCACTGAACAGGTTGCCCAAAGACATTGTTGGGTCTCCATCCTTGGAGACATTAAAACAACCACCTGGAAACAGTCCTGGGCAACCAGCTCTAGATGGCCTTGCTTGAGCAGGGGGGGTTGAACAAGCCTTTCTATAGAAGAATAATAAACTTCACTCACCCAGTATCAGTTTTGTTCTGAATGATGCTAATATCATCTGGAGAGAGTTCTGGAATCCACTTCTCCATCTCATCAACCCAAGGGTATCTCAGAGATGAAGGCACTACAATTAAGAGAGGCCATTCGTTCTTATAGTAATAGGAAATGGCAATTGCTTGAATTGTTTTACCTAGCCCCATCTGGGAAAAGAAAAGAAAAGAAAAAAAATAAAAATAGAAGTTTCTGCTCAGAAAGCATATTCCATTCAGAAGAGCCAAAAATATTTTGCAAAGACAGAACCAGATAAAGGAAACAAAGCCAAAGAGCTAGTTACATAGCATCTATTTCATTGTCAATTTGTTACCACAGATCATCTTTTATGAAAGATGCTGCTTCTCTTTAAATGGATTAATACATATGTTGTATCTGGTTAGCTCATTAAAGCTAAAAGAAGCATTTCCATTCATTTCAGAAGATTTTCTGTTCAAGGCCTTAGCAGGGTAGACTATAAAGATCAAACTCTTTGACTTGTTAAGCTACCAAAAACATTTCAAAAAGGCTATTCAAAGGAAAGAAAAATATGGGATGTGTTCTTAACATAAAAATGACAACTTTGTCCTAAGTTGCATAGGCAACTGAAGAAAAAAGGAAGATCTATATGAAGAACTCTGCTTTTGACCCAGTAGGCCAACTGCTGTCATTCCCCATAGCTAATAGTTTCTCTTTATTCTATAACACAGAAGAGGAAGTCCACTTAGTGGAGAATTCAGATTTACAGACAAGGTGAAGGATAAAGACACAATACATAGATACATATTTAACAAACAAGTACTTGCTTCATATTGTCGAGGTAGGAACACTCCCATCTAATGAGTTATGAATATAGATAACAACAGACGAATATAAGATCCAGAATTTAAGGTTTTGTTTAAAAAAATAAAAACCCCAAGATTTTATCAAAGAATGCAGCTATTTCCTCTACTTGCTCACATGGCAAGACATAGTTCCAGACTCCTGTTAAGCAGTAAAGCAGAGACTGGCCTTAAAATACTCTGTTCAGGTTTTCTAGAGTCCAGTAGATATTTGAGTTGATTTGCTGCTATCTAACTACTCACGGTATAGACATAAAAGCACAACTTACTTATATCCTCAGTATTGAGTTTAAATAGACTGATGTAATGATATCATGAGGAGATTTCCCAGGTATAGAAGAAAACATAATGAATATTTCTACTATTACTAGAAAGAAAAATAATCAGAGAACTACTGTGATACTAAGTTTTCATTAAAAACTGCCAAGTTTTCATTAAAATTTTCCTGCAAGCCCCCCTTGTATCACCAGTAGTGCTTGAGCCAACTGAAAACAAATCCAAGTAAAAAAAAAACAAACCCAAACAAAACCAAAAACCCAAACAAAAAAACCCAAACCACATTCATTCTTAGTTTGTTGCCACAGTTGTCTCCCTAACTCAGACTGCCCAGTCACTGGTGCACTGGTGATGATCCAGGCAACTGAGTTGAAATGAGCAGAGAATAAAAGGCAGGTCTCTTGGCAGCAGCACCCATAACTCAATCTAGATCCCATATAGCTGGTCACCAGTCTAGATCATAAGAATGTGAGAGGCAAGAACACAGTAGAAAATATTATGGTCTTGGTTTTTGATTTAAACACATCTTTCTCAGTCATGGAAATGGATGACATGGAAAACCTGAAATTTTGGGAGAAAAATGTTGTCTGTCCCCACTCCAAGAAAGAATGGCAACATATTTTTAGAATACCTTTCAAAAAGATACTATTATTATTGTACTTTAATCCTTACATAATTACATAATCCAGGTATATGTACAGTAATTATACGATCTCTAGTTTTCATATATAACTTCTTTTTGTATACAAGTTCACGATACTGATGTTTTCTTTTACCAACATTTTCTTCTTATTTTAGAGATATGTCAACAAGTGCAAGATACACACCATTGCACAATACTTCCTCCAGTGCCAGACCTATTGTCATTATGAAATATATATTATTTACTTCAGAATAAATACATCTTGCAGTACTTTTTATTGCTAACATAATTACACACAGTTTATTTTCTCATTCAAGGAAGGAAATAAGAAACTTTGTTTTAATAAACAAATAGCTGCTACTGATATTTCTATTTTTCCCAAGCCTCCCTTTTCTCCTCCCTTGAATGCTTTTGTATTCTCCACGGTTTCCAGAAATTTCACATTCTACGCCAGGATAGTTTATCTCCAGCTGTAATGAGATTTTTTTATAGTATGACAAGATGCTTTAATCCCAGTAATCCATCTCTCTCTCCCTCTGTCCCTCTCCCCCCCAGTGTTTCAAGAAAACCCATATTAGAATTGGGAGACTACATCAACCCCCAAACATTACCTCTTTTTCAGTAAAGTTTTATACTGACAACACATCAAGAACATTATACTGTATTACAAAAATATTTTATCTGTGGGAAGAAATGCTGGACTCACATTTCCCTAATATGGAATAAAATATAAATTTTCAAATATATGGAAGTAATAAATTTCACTATTACAACTTGATCAGTGCATTTAAGAAAATTCATCGTTGGAAGGCGTATCTGTTCAAGATCGACCTCTTTGGGCCAGGAATGTCTCCTAATCCATTAAAAATAGCCAGCTATGCAATTGTAAAGTGCTTAAAAAAAAAAAAAAAAAAAAAAAAAAAAAAACAACTGAGTTAATATTTTTAAGATTCAACAGTACAGGAGATTTAACCTACCTGAATACAATTAAAAGTAACCCTCTAAGTTTTCTCAAAGATTCTTTTAACCTTATGTCAGGTTTCATTTTTTTCCCCCACTAAGATATTTTCAGAATATCTGCTGAATATCACAAGAATTAGGCTTCTTTCATTACCAACCTTTCTGTCTACATCTCTCAAACAAAAGAAGTCACATCTGCATGAAGTACATTAAAACAAGAAAAATGGTGTTAGAGGAACAGGAACATCACTTACCTCATCAGCAATCATACACCTAAATAAGAAACAAGAAGAAAGGGAAAAAAAGCAGAAATTAATAGTAAATATAACAGATAAATCAATACCTGCAAATTTTTTTTTTTACTATAAATTTAAGTTATGGATTTACTGAATCAGTGAAAGGAAAAAAGGCAGACTTCACTCCTACAGATATCAACTACAAAAAGTAAATTTGGTATGAATTTGAAAGTAAGTATGCCAATTGTTCTAAAAATGTATATCCAATTTGTTAGCATTACTGAAGAACTTGCATTGTAAAATTGAATTGCTTGTTTGGTCTAGTGCTATATTAATTGTAATCTGAAGAGACATTTTCAAGGCAAGAAGTGCTTCTTCAATTTTTTTTGTCTTTCAGAAACAACGATGTTTTTGCTGCTTCATGAGTATTTATATGTCAGACTGATTTTAAAAAGCTGCTTTCCAGAGCTGTCACATTTGTTTTGAAATAGAAACAGACACTCGCTCTCTCCCAGCAATTGTACTAGCTGAAGTATTAGAAAACGAACTTGACTTTTTCCCATTTTGGAGTCACTCAGTTAGTGCTACTCCACGTAAAGACAATGACAACTCCAAGTCCCCAGTCAAAAACTAGTAAATTCTGTTCAGCATATTTATATTTTCTAAACATTAAATGCCATCTTTGATATGAATTTCTTACAGGTGTTTTAAGTTATTTCATTTATTTCAGTTACTTAGTACGTACATTCTTAATTCAAGTAGGGTCTAGGGAACTTAAATGTTTCTAGCCCATGCAAACTTCTTCATAAAATCTTTGAGACTGGATGAAGGACAAAGGAAATTATTTGATGGACATTTAGTTAAGCCATTAAATGGATGATGCTGCATCTTTCCAAATGTGTACCCTCAGCTATTTTACAAACTCAGCTCTCAGCTATTTCACAAACTTTTACCTCCACTACTTTACAAACTTTTCCAAGCTGGAGAAAAAAAACACAAGACAAACAAAAAACCCCAAAACCTAACCAACAAGCCCATCCAATTCAAAAGCATTATCTAAAGAACTACAAGAGGTTGTTCTGCCTCTAGTAATTAGTAGATAAAATACATATATTAAATTCATACACATTAACAAATTCAGAGGGAGGCATGAATCCAAGCAAGAACTGTGAATATAAGAAAGAGGCAAGGAGACAACCTACTCCCTTTAAGTCTTACAGCAAGATGATGACTTGAAATTCCTTTTTCTCCTATAGCAACCCTGGACTGCATGAAGATACAGATTTACTAAGTATCTTCTGACCAGAATCAATGCCGGGAATTCCAAGGCAAGATCTGAAACAGGCACAAAGTATGAATTTCTGCAACTTCATAAGAATTGTCAGAATTCGACAGCAATACCTGCTTGGGCTGCAGTTAAATAACTGGCAATTAGATGAATTCTCCAGCTACTAAGTAATCTGGGAAGTTTTTCAAGCATTGTATAATTTTTTTAAATTGTCACAAAAAGCAAACTGGAAGAATAACTCCCATCAGTTGGTATCATAGTGCCACACAAAGGCCATGGGCTTAGTCAAACCACTGACTGAGAAATACAGCAGTGAGTGCTGTTGGTTGAACTAAGTGACAGCAATAGACTGACAGCTCTATACAGTCCATCACTTTGCTTGAGGATTTATAAATGTTTACTGACAGAAAAAAGTGCCAAGTCTCAGAAATGATGAAATATTTCAAGCTCTGGAAGGGAATAAACTTCCCAGGCCACTCCGCTTGTTTTCCCCCCGACTCAAGTATACTTCTGCCTTGTGCTTTTCACTTACAGTCCCCAGCAGCTTTCAGTCATGGACACAAACTAGTCTTGATGAATTGCTCTGGATGAATTCTTCTTCATAGTCTGTTCCCAGCCACTGCAGCTTTTAAGGAAACCAAAACTTCTCCTACTCCTATGCCATATAACTAGATATGCACCCACTGTACCATGTAACTCAAATGCAATGTTCTTTCCATGAAAAAAATGGAAAAGATCTTCCAGGTCTTTATGTCTATAATAAAATTTAACACACCAAGATATAAGTGTTCTGTATTTTGATACCAAAAATCTTTTAAAGTAATACAGAACTGCGTTTTTAGTGGTAGGTATTCTGAAGTTAGTACAGCTACCCAAAACCACAACAGAAGTCTTCTTTTCCGCACAAACCCCAGCCACTTTACAGTAATGATTAATGCTTGTAGCAGCACCATCAACTTAGAACTGTCATTACGTCTAATAACATGCATCTTGCCATGGGGTCAAACCGGACATTTCTGTGGTCAAAATAGAAATCTCAGAGAAAACATACACTGGCACTTTTCAGACATGATGTGCGAGATAAATGTTTGATATATTCTGAGATATATGGTATACTGCTGTTTGCTCACTCCATCTGCCAGTGTAAATTTCAATGTCTACCAATTTCATCAGTTTCTTTCAACTAACATAAAAAAGAATTCAAAATATATCTTATATAACTTAATTTTTTATAAGTAACAAACTATCTACTTGCAATAGCTTTGTAACCACACTCCCCCCAAATTGTTAGGGTGAAGCGATGAAAACAAAGGAAGAAAACGTAACAAAACAAACAGATTTACAAAGGAAAAAAGGCAGGAAGAGATTTATTTTTAGTGGCAACTCATGATTGTGGGGCCTTAATGCCTGTGATTTGCAGCTGGGCAAAGACATTTATTTGCAGACAACTAAAACACAATTCTAATTTTAAAATAATGTCAGGATTTGCTCACTTCAAAGACTGATTTTTTTTTTTTTTTTTTTTTTAATTTAATACTCATTGTTAATTGCTTGAACTGAAGTTTACAAAACAAGTCTTTCTTTTTGCAGATTCTTTCAGAGGCCAACTGCTTTCGGTACATTAATCATGTTTTTTAAAAACAATTTGAAGCCTGAAATTGGAATGCATAACAACCTAGTGTTGCAGGGGTTTTTGAACTCCTTACACAAACGCAGAAAATGAGTAAGACTATAGCAATTAGCTACAGAGAGAATAAACCAAAGACCTTCTTCAACAATATAGTATGTTTAATATAAGGGTATCAGAGCAAATGTACAAATATAGCAATAACAGAGACTATATTGCATCCAAGTAGCATCTGGCACAGAAATGTGGTAAAGAGGACAGGAATACAAATGTTCCTTGCCAACTTGTGCTGACAAATGCAATATTTCTCAGCATATCAACTTATATTTTAGTAGAATTGCATAAATAATGAAATGTTAATTATGCCAGTTCAGACACACAGAAATCAAAGCAAGAATACATAAGATCCTATTGCACTGTTCTTCGGCGTATGTGAACTAACTATTTGGACCCTCACTCTTTTTTTCAGGACCACAAGCTAAATTGAAGAAATTCAGAGTGATTTACAAATTGTTCTGACAATTAGAAGTTGAATAGCAATTAAAATAAAAATCCTTAAAGATATGTCAACCACAGGAACGTATGTTTTTCCATAAAATGACATTTTTTTCATTAGAGTGAACTGTAGCCACTTAAACTTTGATGACGTGAGAATTCGCCAAAGAATAGGAAGTTGTTCTGTTTTTCTTTTTGCACTCATTTTCAGACTGTGCTCACAGAATCTTTGCTGCTATAGAGTATCCTCTGTTTTCATGTCTATTAACTTCCACTTAATATGTCTGAAGTGAAACTTCTTACGTAGCAGCGACAAAGTTGCTGGCTTTTAAATATTTACAGAAACTCATCATTTTGTTGCTGGTAAATGAATGGAAGTACAAAGTAACTGCCATCATTTTATCCATAACATAACCATTCTTAAAAGATAATCATGGTAAAGTGATCAACACAGTTTTATCTTCCTTGTTTCTGCAGTACCAATACAAATAGAGATTCCACAGAAACACCCATATGCTTAAAAGTTACATACATATAGTGATATTTTGCTATTTAGTGACGTATTCATTCTCTTCTCCCACCCAATGACGAAAACACTTTGTCATAAGTAGTTCGGATTTTCCTCCTATATTTGCAACCCATACATTTTTTCAGTCATTTAAACATTTGACTAGACACGCCACAGATGGATATGAATCAGGTGCACAAAATTGTTTTTAAAGCTCCAGTTAGAGTATCTGAATGTGTTAAGTCCTCTTTATGATACAGTTAGGAACATGAATCACTGCTTTGAGCCACACTGTTCATACTCAAATTCCTGAAGTGCTACAGTTTTTAAATTGCTGACTTGTGCCAATTAATTAACATTATTGACACTTACACTTGATAAAAGTTTTGACATGACACACAAGATGAGTTTATGATACAGGTAGAAGTTAAAAAAACTAATGTAAGTGGAAATTGAGGATATTCAAATTATTTTATGACTTAATGCATTTTAGAGCATTCATCCTCTGTAGTTTCCACAGTTTTAGAATAAGAACCTTAAAGATGCTTGCTTAATCTAGTTACAAAATATGAGAATTCCAAATTTTTTTCATTAGACTCTAGGACAATGAAAAATAGCTTATATTACTGAGAGGGAAATCATCAAGTGTTCCCAGTTTATAATCACAACAGTTAGATTTGAAATATAAAGAACTTCCCCATCATTATAGCCCAGACCACACTGAACTCATAACATATCTAATAGTTGCATTAAGCTGTTAAAAAGCAATACTTCACATTTTGCTTTACATAATCTTAAAAACATGCAGCCTCTACTTAAAACAAACTTCAGTATGTTCTATATTATTGCAGTCAGACAAGCTGCCAACATGAACATAAAGGTTCCATGCTGTCACAGCAGAAGAAACAGATCTTCAGCTACATTGAAGAGACAAATATGTATTTTTGTTTCACATATTTTGACTGCAAGAAGACAGACTTCTTGTTCTCTGAAGTTCAATTAGTCATTTCCTCTCAACTGGTAGTTACCCAATCTGAGCTTCATCATTCATATCCCATCTGTTCATATGACACCTTAATAATAGCTCTATCCAAGAATATAAATCAGAGCTATGATACG